TAGATACAAGTGGTATCTGGCAGTGCAGTAAATTAGTCTGCTTCACCCTAATTGCCACACACATGTTTATGGTGATGCAGGGATTAGTTTAGTCTGGCTCAAATTGAGCCAGAGTATATTCAGTTGCATTAATTGCACACGTAGACATGCCCAGTGGTAATAAATAGGTAATAATTATAAAGGGTTTCACTCTGCCACTAACTAGATTTTACTCTTTACTGCATGTCTTTCTTTTGTCTTATAATTGTCTTATGATACACATTTAAAGACAATCATAAGACAAAAGAAAGTAGTGTCATCCATATGGGCACCAATGATACTGCCAGGGGAGACCCTGAGCATGTCAAAAGTGACTACAGGACTCTGGGTACAAGGGTGAGAGGGTGTGGGGCTCAGGTTGTGTTCTCGTCAATCCTTCCGATCAAAGGAAAGAGCCTGGAAAAGAGCAGGTGCATCTTGCAGATCAACACCTGACTGCACAGGTGGTGTCACCAGCAGGGCTTTGGCTTGTTCAACCATGGGATTTTCTTCCAAGAAGAAGGATTGCTGAGAAGAGATGGGATCCACCTAATGAAGAGAGGGAAGAGCGTCTTCACAGACAGACTTGCTAACCTAGTAAGGAGGGCTTTAAACTAGGTTCACCAGAGGATGGAAACCAAAGCCCTGAGGTAAGCAGAAAAGTGGGAGACCTGGAGGGAGAGCAAGCAGAAGGGGGCAACAGGGAGGGTGTTGTCATACTTCCTGAAAAACCAAGGCAATCAACTAGTTACCTCCGGTGCCTGTACACAAATGCATGGAGCCTGGGAAACAAGCAGGAAGAAGTGGAAGTCCTCGCACAGTCACGGAGTTATGACATGATTGGAATAACAGAGATTTAGTGGGAGCTCGAATGACTGAAGCAGTGTCATGGATGGGTACAAACGGTTTGAGAAGCTAGAGATAGGCCTGTTGAGAGTCTCTAGGTTAGGGTCAGAGGGAAGAGCAACAAGTGTGATGTCATGGTCGGGGTCTGCTGTAGGCCACCAGACCAGGGAGAAGTGGTGGATGAGGCTTTCTTCAAACACCTAGTGGAATTTCCCAAACGCAGGCCCTGGTTTTCATGGGGGGACTTCAGTCACCCTGATATTTGCTGGGAGGGCAAAACAACAGTGCATGGGCAATCCAGAAAGTTTTTGGAGAGTGTTGGGGACAACTTCGCGGTCAACGCTTCCCATCTCCCCACTAACCCCCCCGCTCTTCTTGACCTGCTGCTCACAAACAGGGAAGATCTGGTGGGGAATGTACTAGAGGATGGCAACTTGGACAGCAGTGACCATGAGCTGATTGGGCTCAGGATCCTGAGGAAAGGAAGGATGGAGAGCAGCAGAGTAATAGCCCTGAACTTCAGAAAAGCAGACATCAACTCACTCAGGGAAGTCATGGACAGGATCTCCTGGGAAGCCAGTCTGAGGGGAATGAGGGGTCCAGGAGAGCTGGCTATACTTTAAAGAAGCCTTACTGAGAGTGCAGGAACAAACCATCCTGATGCGCAGGAAGACTAGCAAGTATGGCAGAAGACCAGCTTGGCTTAGCAGGGAACTCTTCAGTAAACTAAATCACAAAAAGGAAGCTT